CGCCTCCCTCGCCACCAGCACCCGCGTCCAAATCAACAGCACTCCCTCCTCCTCCTCCACCTCCTCCTCCCCCCGCAGCTTCTACCACTGCATCAGCATCATCAGCATTAGCAGCAGCGCCGGCGGCGGCGGCGCCGGCGGCTCCGCGCCCACGCCCACGGCCGCCGGGCGTCTTGGCTCTGCCGCCCCTTCCCCCCGGGGTCTTAGCACCACCACCGCCGCCGCGACCGCCAGGCGTCTTAGGCGCTGCCGCCGGGCCCTTTACAGGGGTGAAGGGTGCATTCCCGGCACCGGCAGTAGTGGCTCCCACCTCGGGACCGGTGGCTCCTGCTACTGCCGCTCCGTTGGGTAGTTGACCAGCACGCCAGCCGGGCGCACAGTGCTGTGTGGCGGTGCTGCTGCTACAGCTGCTGCTACCGCGGCCGGTCTCGTGCTCGTACCAAGCCACCAGGCCCTGTACGGGTCAAGAAGTCGAATAGAGGGAGGGGGATGAACAGCGTTTACAGTGTTTTTTTTATTTAGTGCACGATTTACGTTCCGGGATGTGGGGTCATGGTCATGGATGAATCGAGGAGGAAAGAGAGGTAATCGAGACCACCACAGGCGACGGGAAGCGCGAATTCCACATATCTTTAGGCATCCAGCTCCCATACCTGGTAGATGTTTAAGTTTTAAAAAAGAAAACAAAAGAAAACAAAGCCGAAACGAAACTGGACTACATCAGGGGCAGCAGCCCCTGGCGGAAGCCTCGCACCCAGCTCGAGAACGTGCACCTATGCGGCCCCAAGCTAAAGCTTAAAGTGGGAGTCCCTCCATCCCCATGCCCCTCCCCTTTCACCGCGTTACAGTCCGTAGATCGGGACCCCTCCCCCCCTCCCCCATTGGGGGAAAAGGGGTCAATGGTCCGTCTTACCCCTTGCTCCCCCCACCTGGCGCCGTTCTCTCCACCTCCCTCCCTCTCTCCCTTTTACCCCCTTCCCTCCCTCCCTCCCTTTTATCCCCTTCCCTCCCTCCCTCCCTCCCTTTTACCCCCTCCCTCCCTCCCCCTTCCTCCCTCCCAACCCCACCATGACGTCCTCTGCGGCCGAATCCTGCAAACCACTGAACTGTGACAGAGCCGAGCCGAAGCAGCTGCCCACACCCGCCGCCAGGTCCTCAGGCCGCAACAGCGCCACGTAGGCGCCCTGGAGGAGGAGTCGGGAGGTACAGGGAGGGAGGTACAGGGAGGGAGGTAAGGGAGGAAGGAAATGGAAGGCAAGAGGAGGAAGGTAAAATTATGCGAACTTAAGGAGGGGGAGAGGGAAAGACGAACCACACACGTTGAAGCTGCTGCCAGGGCAAGAGTGTATGAAACGTAGAACTGAACTGAGGGGGAGCAGACGCGGGAATGCGGGGCGGAGCGAGGGGGTCCGGAGAAACCCTGCTGCAGACTTCATAACGAAACCAATAATGCAATTAATCATCCCCGCGGCTACAAAGAGGAGGTGAAAAGAAGAGGATGTGCGGCATTTACAATTACGGAGATCTGGGACGAACTGGAAAAGGGTAGGACGCGGCTTTCCTTAGAGGCTTGGGATTATCCCCAAGTCGACGAGAGCCAACGTGATCCCGGATTCCCGAAATTTGCAAAAAAATCATTCTTTTCCGTCTAAGTTGCATGAAGGGCGTACCTGTTGCTCACGGAGGTACGACGCAAACGCGCCGTACAGATCCAGCCGATCGGCCATACTGGCACCGTTGGTGGACAGCAACAGGGTGGGTATGGCGCCCATCGATGAAGATTGTCCGGTCAGCACAGACCCGAGCTGCGGGTGCTGCGGCTGTTGAAGTGGCTGCTGTGCTAGGTGTGCATGTGCTGCTGTAGGGAGCGAGGATGGCGGCGCGGGTCGCTGGCTGGCGGCCAGTAGGCGCTGTGGCGAGTTGGGCGCCAGGAAGTTGACCCACAATCTATGGAAGTCGTCGCGGTCACGATCCCGACAAAAAGCCTGAGTCGGGGGCAGGGGGCATGGCAGGGGTAAGGTATAGGGGTTGGTAGGGGGGTATACGTNCCGGGGGGGGGGAGTATGTAGAGGGGTTACGTAGGGTGGAGAGGGAACGACATGGAGAGGGGTTGAGAGCAAGTTACAGAATAGTGGGTGACATGTAGGGATGTCGATGACATAACTGCCTCCGCGCACGGCGTCAAGAGGGCCCGCAGGGTTACATTGCGACAGGGTTTAATAGGGGTAATAGTAATAGTAATAGTAGTAATAGTAGTAGTAGTAGTAGTAGTAGTAGTAGTAGTAGTAGTAGTAATAGTAATAGTAGTGGTACGTTTCCTTTTTGAGACCAGCAAGTCAACCCTGAGACGGATGATGATGATGATGGTGATGATGGTGATGATGGTGATGATGGTGATGATGGTGATGCGATATTCAAGACACTGAAAGCGGGCGGGCGGGCACCTTGATGGGTGGGGCGCTTTCGGAAAAGCAAGAAAGGGGCATGTCGGTCAACGCGTCTCCAAGGAGGACCCCGCCGCCACCACATACATAGTCGGGGCTTGCGCTGCCCCCTAGGATCCTACATGGATGATAGCCACGAGGCCGCGATGGATGAGCCTTTGTGCGATGTGGGTTATGCACGTAGATGCTTACCTCGAACGCGCCTTCCAGTTCGGCTGTCGCCGTTTGCAAACCCAACCATCGCCCTTGACGGGATATAGCATCTTCACCGCTGAATAGTGCTGGGAAATTCCTGAGATCATCACCTGGCAGTTTAACTTCCGTGGGTGAAGAGACATTCTCGACACGTACCCGACCAAGGTGCAGAAGGAACGGACGCGCATACCGTGGACCTTTGCGCTTGGTGGTGCGAGGCCTGCTTGGCGTCCTTGAAGGGCTTCAGCGCGCTGGGTGTTCTTGGGCGGAAGCTCGCAAATGACTTCTGCAATGACGCCTTGCTTGATGCACGGCTCCTCACCAGTGCTTGAAAACCACTCTGACATCTTCAATTGAACATTACTTGATTGAATTACTTATATCTGCCTTCGCATCTACTGCGATTGTAAAAGCTGCCTTTTTGTGAACCTAAAATATGGGCGAAACACAGGGTGTGACACAGTATATACGACCTGAGCTAAACAGTTGCAAATAGGATAATTATAGCAGAGTTGCCTAGTTATTGTCCTGCACCTGTGCACCTTGTTCGGCCTTGCCGCCAAAAATAACATGAAGGAAAAGTGCCGTAATGTCCATAAATTTTTGCCCTGTTTTGCTCAATAATCCACAACAAGGGTCGTTCGATCGACAAGTGTTCTGGCTTTAAATTCTTATGGATGCAAATTAAAATGAGCACAGGCCCGTCTCGACAGCTCAAAGAGCCCCTGATACTGAAGAACCCAGACGCAAGCATAGTCTCTGTGAAGACAAATGCTAGATGGATTGGGCTATGCAGAAAGCCGTGTAACCAATCCGTTAGCCCCGTGGGTCAGCAGGCCAGAGGTGCAAATCCCTGTAATTTATCATGTGCGTGTTCAACAGACCGACAGGGAGAATTCGCAATTAGCGGAGGATAGTTGGCATGGGGGGGCAAAGAGTAAACATGGCCGAACATCTGAAAGCATGTTAACAACCTTGCTGTATATCGGTAAAGAGCATTAAGGCATAATGCACGAACCGAAGGACTCCTAGCAAAGAAGGAATGGTTACTCCGCAGCGGCAGAAATGTTGCGTACCGGACGCTCTAAAATGCCCTTCTTCCGGTAATGCCGGTAAGGAGACGTAGCCGCTCTGTTCCTGCCATGTATGCACTATTACAAAGGATTCAAAATGTTTAAACATTTCGTCTATTTATCCACTGTCCACAACTCAGGGGATGCATGCAATCTTCGGCCAGCCTTCGCGGGAATGCCCGGTTGTTGCACGTACAAACAGACCGGTCCGACCGTCCGGAGGGGGGTATAGTTCATGTGAATATAAACACATAATGAAGGACGATCATTATCATAACCTGAAAATGAAGCATAATTCTATGTATTGGTTGCATGTAATCCTGGTGGGGTTGTTCTGCCAGTCAACCGCTGGCATCCTTGACATGCCCAAAATTGCTCTCTACATGAGCCAGTCTAGTGACGTTCTGGATCTAACGTGGGACAATGGGCCGATGCACCTTTCGCAGCAGCTTGCAAACCTAGGCTTGGTCGTGCATTCGGCAGCTGATGCCCAACCTCCCCTTGGCGACATCGATGCTCCCAGCGCCTACATCATTCCTGCTCAATATGGGCATACACTGTACACAGCGGCAGAGGATATGAGCGAGGTCGCATCGTTTCTTTCCCATGGTGGCCTTGTAATCGTTCTTGACGCCGGCCTGGGTGATGGCGCAGCTCTGCGAGATTTCGTTTCACAAGCGCTGTCTCTTAAAGGTGATCGAAAAGTGGAAACATATGCCGAACGTGCGCGGGTCTTGATTTAAAAACCGCAACACCCTTGAAGATGGCTAACTGCTCTTATAATTATTCCCATTGTTTGATCCAACATCAATGCTGAAGGTCGTCTTTCCTATTCTTAACGCGTTCTCGCAGGTTCATGGAATCTGTGCAAGCAGACTGGCACGACTGACAAGTTGCGGCGCTTTAGCCGCTCGAGCGGTCCTTCGCTCAGCGATGCCGCACTTTCTTTCCTCCCTGGTGGGAGTTTTTCTGGTTCGCCCGACTGGCCTGAGACCCTTGAGGACGCGCGCATCATCTCTACTTACACGTCCTGCCAGCACCAGGATAGCGACGCTGTCATTAGACCGCTTTACACGCTCTACGGCGACGAAATGCAGGTCGCTGCGCAGGCAAGTAGAGAACGTCGAGGTCCATCGAATTTACCTCTACCTGTTGGCACGCGTTGCGGGTCCCAGCAACAGCGCATAATCATAATCCTCAGGACTTCTATGGACCCATATGACCTTTATAGCTTAGTATCTCATTTGTATGCCGCCAGAGTGCTATCCTTCTTTTTTCTTCCCACGCGAACGGTCCAGCCTGCCCAGGATTCCGCGCTAAGGATGATGTGATTTTCCCACTTTGGCTGCCTGCACGCAGGCGTTCGGCAAGGTTGGCAGCCCCGGCGCCGTGGTGTGGCTCGGTTACAGCTGGAAGGACGGGCCCCAGCCGCAATGGGGCGCGCTGCTGAAGAAGCTCATCACCGACTTCGCAAACGGTAGGTAGCCGATGTGGGTCACGCTGTATGTGGATGGTCGGTAGCTGTTACGTTATCTGTACGGATACACGGACACTCGGCCATGCAGAAGAGGGCAACGGATGATCGATGAGATGTCCACCCCTGTTTGGGTCAGGGATTTGGGATTTGGGATTTGGGTCAGCGCCACACGGGATACATTTCTGTGATCGACATTGTGTAGCGGCCCTTCTGCTTGTAACCCAGTATGTGGGTTGGTAACCCTCCAGGGTGATGCGCTTACGAAATAGGGCTGTACGAGACTTCTCACATCGGTGCTCCTTTAGGTGCATCGCTTAGTGTATTCTGACATTCGTGACATCGCCAACACTTGTTTCCCTGATTAATTCAGGGTTGTACGAAATTCCGCTTGAGGAAGACCCGGCGCCCACGGATATGCTGTCTTGCATCATTGAGGCAGCCGCGGACGTCGCTCGGGATATCGACAGCATCGTAAGACGCTCCATGCTCGTGCCCGCTGCCTACCCGCCTGCCCCAACCCATGGCAACAACGGTAACAACGGGAATCACGGTGACAATGGCAACAACGGCAACAATGGCAACAACGGGAACAACGGCAACAACGGCAATAGCAGGAGCCGTCGCCTGTCGGAAGCCGACGTCGAGCAGCTTGTCGACAACGTTGTAAGGCGCTCCATGCTCGTGCCCGCTGCCTACCCGCCTGCCCCAACCCATGGCAACAACAACAATGGCAACATAACAACGGGAATCACGGTGACAATGGCAACAACGGCAACAACGGCAACAATGGCAACAACGGCAACAACGGCAACAACGGCAATAGCAGGAGCCGTCGCCTGTCGGAAGCCAACGTCGAGCAGCTTGTCGACAACGTTGTAAGGCGCTCCATGCTCGTGCCCGCTGCCTACCCGCCTGCCCCAACCCATGGCAACAACGGAACAATGGCAACCATCAACAACGGGAATCACGGTGACAACGGCAACAACGGCAACAACGGCAACAACGGGAACAACGGCAACAACGGCAACAACGGCAATAGCAGGAGCCGTCGCCTGTCGGAAGCCAACGTCGAGCAGCTTGTCGACAACGTTGTAAGGCGCTCCATGCTCGTGCCCGCTGCCTACCCGCCTGCCCCAACCCATGGCAACAACGGTAACAATGGCAACCATGGCAACAACGGGAATCACGGCAACAACGGCAACAACGGCAACAACGGCAACAACGGGACAACGGCAACAACGGGAACAACGGCAACAATGGCAATAGCAGGAGCCGTCGCCTGTCGGAAGCCGACGTCGAGCAGCTTGTCGACAACGTTGTAAGGCGCTCCATGCTCGTGCCCGCTGCCTACCCGCCTGCCCCAACCCATGGCAACAACGGTAACAATGGCAACCATGGCAACAACGGGAATCACGGCAACAACGGCAATAACGGGAACAACGGCGACAACGGCAATAGCAGGAGCCGTCGCCTGTCGGAAGCCGACGTCGAGCAGCTTGTCGACAACGTTGTAAGGCGCTCCATGCTCGTGCCCGCTGCCTACCCGCCTGCCCCAACCCATGGCAACAACGGTAACAATGGCAACCATGGCAACAACGGGAATCACGGCAACAACGGCAACAACGGCAACAACGGCAACAACGGCAACAACGGCAACAATGGCAACAATGGCAACAACGGGAACAACGGCAACAACGGCAATAGCAGGAGCCGTCGCCTGTCGGAAGCCGACGTCGAGCAGCTTGTCGACAACGTTGTAAGGCGCTCCATGCTCGTGCCCGCTGTGTACCCGCCTGCCCCAACCCATGGCAACAACGGCAATAATGGCAACCATGGCAACAACGGGAATCACGGCAACAACGGCAACAACGGCAACAACGGGAATCACGGTGACAACGGCAACAACGGGAACAACGGCAACAATGGCAATAGCAGGAGCCGTCGCCTGTCGGAAGCCGACGTTGAGCAGCTTGTCGACAACGTTGTAAGGCGCTCCATGCTCGTGCCCGCTGTGTACCCGCCTGCCCCAACCCATGGCAACAACGGTAACAATGGCAACCATGGCAACAACGGGAATCACGGCAACAACGGCAATAACGGGAACAACGGCGACAACGGCAATAGCAGGAGCCGTCGCCTGTCGGAAGCCGACGTCGAGCAGCTTGTCGACAACGTTGTAAGGCGCTCCATGCTCGTGCCCGCTGTGTACCCGCCTGCCCCAACCCATGGCAACAACGGTAACAATGGCAACCATGGCAACAACGGCAACAATGGCGATAACGGGAACAACGGCAATAACGGGAACGATGGCAACATAGGGAACAACGAGAACAACGGTAATAATCGGAACAACGGTAATATCGGAAACAATGGCAACAACGGGAACGACGGCAACAAGGGCAATAGCGGGAGCCGTCGCCTGTCGGAAGCCAACCTTGAGAAGTCGTGATAAATAAGCGCCGGTGCGACACCCGTACGTCATTAACCCATTTCCATCATTATGGGGATCTTTGCCCCAATGCGCGGTTACGCAAGTGGCCTTCATGCATGTTGGATGTGCGCTGCGCATTATTGGATGTATAGGAATTTTGCATCGCTCGTCATGCCATGGCATGGCATGGGCATGGGAGTTCTGACCCGAAACAACCCTTAATGCACTGATAGGTGCGCGTGTCTGAGGGCGTGCGCATGTGTGGCCGGGGATGAGTGTTTATATACATACGTCGATCTTGCACATACACGACATAAGATCATCATAAGTCACTATAAATCTGTACATAACCTTCCCGATACGCGCGGACATCGTGCTGTCTGTCTGTCTGTCTGTCTGCGTAACAAGTCAAGCAAGCCGCTGTGTCCCCTACGCAGTAGCGGTTTCGGGATAAGCTTATCGCCGGGCGGAAAGGCGAGGGGATGTCCCTTGTCAGTGCCTATTTTTCTCCATTTCCTGCATCGCTGTTGGATGCGGTGGTGTGCGCCATTGTTTCGTGGTGCCAGTTTATATCAAGCAGTAGTCATCCAGGTGCTAAACATGCCGTTGGTCGCTAAGGTCCTGAATACACCCGTCTGCGCTTTGTCGTGCAGAATGACATCATGGGGTTCATTCACATGGGTGCAATCACATCAATACCAGGGAGGGGGGAAGTGGATTCTTTGGCCGCCACCTGCGTTTTATTCTTTAGGTACATTTTTCATACATGACGGACAACTGCATCGAAGACTTTTATTGACCTGGGCAGCAGGATGAGCTTAGGGTTCACAAGTCAGCAGCAGAGGTTGTGGAGATGACGTGGCAGAGGTACCCTCAAGGCAGTAGGATGATATATCTGTCTGTATGTACATGTACATATATAAAGCGTTCCTGCACATTAGGGTTTGTGCGGTAGGTAGGTAGGTATGTCGTCGTGGTCTGGTTAGTCCGATGTCTGTCTGGTCGTCGTGGTCCGGTTAGTACGACAAACGGCGCTATTAGCATGACGGATGTAGCCCATACAGACCGTGTCGATATTACATATGACCAATAGTATGCCCACGATGGATGCCTATACTTCTATATACTTCTATCGACTTAATCGCTTTCTGTGGAAGTATATATTAAAATGTGCTGTATGGCGTAGTACTTGCGTGTGTCGGCCTCTTAGTTTTATTGCTTGAGGATGGGTTAATGCTGGGTTAATTAATACCTTGCGCGCGGCGGTTGCTCTTAGATTGCCGTATATAACATCCTTTTGATGCAGGTTAGGCGTATGGCCGCGCGATGGTTGTTAGCTGCGGGATTGCCTATCTATCTGATTCCATCCGGAGTTCATTAGTCCTTGTTAGATGGCGCAGGCGATAAGCGTCTTGTCTATGCGCGTGCAGGACTTAACGTTTTGCTTTAGTAAGTAAGCCTTTATGCCGAACTGACGAGCTGGAACATTTTTTTCGGTGGGGTCATAGTAATATCTTCTTAGGGTGATTTTCCCGATGTATGTATACTTTGGCACATACGATAGGCAGTGTGGCGTGTATTGCGTCGCCGAACTCTAGCGATTGACTTCTCCGAATCGTGAAGTGCTGTATATAGTGCCGTATAGGCGTGGGCCCTCCGGCTAAGGGACGTTTTATAGGCTTGTGGTATGAAGCATGGGTTTTGGCTGATGAATAAAGTTTTTTTTTGCCATATGAACATAAATGACTTATGTAACATTGATGTGCTTCCAGGGCTTAGTACCAACTTGTTGCGAACTTGTCACCAAGTTAACCTGTTACCAAAACCCCTCTTGAGACCAAGTTTATGCCCTTGCATGAATGATGTTGGAGGAGTGTAGCAGTTTTCCAACCTCCGCCCCAGCAGCTTCAGCCGAAACACAAATGGCCATTTTAGATCATCTATCCGAAAACCATCTGGCAGTGGTGCTGCCGAGCAGTACCTCCTTGTGGACTCTTCACGCTGCATAATTGTATCATTACGGCTGTTGAAAAGCTGTTTATGCGCTGCGTATGCAGCCAAAATGCGAGGCACAACTGACCATCTTCCTCACCCCCTTCCCACCAACAGTGTAAGCGTAGCGCGTTTCGCCGGCGGGTTGGAGAGCCCCTAGCTGGGGCCTTACGTACGGCCTGCAGGTCCATCTATACAAGTTCCTTGGAGTCCTGTCTGCGATACTTCTAGAGAGATTGTACTGAAGGACGACATGGCTTCGATGTTTAGAGCTAGGCCAGTCACAGAGGCCTGAACGGCGAGGCAGCCTAGCTATACAAAACCAGAACTAATCACTGTGCGGGGTCTGGGTACGACAACATAGCAGGCCGCGTGTGAATAGCACAGACCTTACACTCTTCTGTGTGTGTGTCTGGTTGTTACAGTGGGCTCCAGACTCACGAAGAGTTACACGTTACCTGATGTGGTGAGGGGGAATCCGTGACTTTCAAAACCATCGGCTCACATTGCTTGCGTTCCCATGTTGATTCTGTTCATAGCTGCTTAGTACGGCACCAAAGCGGAAAAGAAGCTGAGCTACCGGTGTGCCGTACATCCGAATAAGAAGCCTTAGGGCTCCTTAAGACTCCTTAGGAATCCGGTTCGACATGTTAATTGATTTCCACGTCAGTTCACTTTTCCTCATCCTGACGGTAAGTTGCTGGCCGCGGTACTGGCATGATAACCTCAACGCGGGCAGCTCAGTGCGTTTTGCTAGGGATCGGTAGGGCCTGCGGGGCCTGCGGGCATATGCGAGTGAAACTTTGCTTGAACAAGTAGCTAACAAACAAAGTGCGTAACGGTATCATTCCCTTCAGGAACTTTTGGTTGCGGAATATAGCCAACACGCTTCATAAAGCCCCGCGGGAGTGAAGATATGACAGCATCCATATCATGTGCGTTGTGCACTCGCCGTGTTCTCGGAAGCCGACATTAGACCGGGCCCGATGACCGCGGAAGACGCCCGGAATGGCCGCGGGTCCTTCAGAGCAGTTAGAAGGCAGAGACGCGTCGAGACAAGCTGCATGCTAAAGTCAATGACAGTAACACGCCAATCCGGAAGAACAACGCGAGCTTTGTATATGTTATATTCTATTCTTATGGGTGGGCGTTTCCTGGTGTACAGCCAGGCACGGAACAGGTCGGACCAGGCCATGTACGAAACGGATAGAAGTTTGGGAGGTTTGAAGACCAACTAAAAGAGAAAATGAATTTAATCATGTGATTCTGAGGTTGAATAATCGGCAGCATGTATGGTTCGCTGCAGTCCATGTTGAGGCGTTGGGGTGGCAACGAACGCCACTTCAGTGTCTCTTCCAAATCCTCCCAAGAAACCAGAAATAATGTACTATGTTATATACTAATATGATAATTAAGCTTGCATTTGTCAAGTGTAACATAATTGGTACAGCAGTACTTCATACCTTGTCGAAAGATGCCGAGACAGACTGGATGCAGCAACAGACGGTGAGCCGCGCGGCGCGATAATTTCGGCTACCTTCCCATTTACTGCATTTGTCTTACATTATGTACATCAGCTACCCATCAGGCCGCGCAGGTTATCTTTCGTACCAAGCCTGGTACAAATAGCGTTGCTGCTCACAAGTTCCCAAACAATCGCCACATATTGGATGCGGTGATTGTGATGGTCTTTATTTAGCTTCTGAAAAATGCGGCTGAATGCACCCAACATTCTGGTGCTAACTACAAAATTACTTCTTTGTTGGGCACTTGGCAGCACTGTAGCAAAGGTCCCGTCTGTGTCCCTTTACCACAGTGAATTTAAAGGGGTCATCGACCATTCCTGGGACGATGGCTCTAGGAATCTTATAGTCCAGCTGAAGAGCACTGGATTTGATGTGCACATCGCCGTCGATGGCCAACCGGCCGGCCTCGGAAGCGCGGACGCTATGGATGCATACATCATTCCAGCACAGAATGGACAAGTTCTTTATTCAAATGCTGAGGACATGGAACAAGTTGCCGCTTTTGTCAGCTCCGGTGGACTTGTGATTATTCTGGATGCTGGCCTTGGCGAGGGCGCCGCAACATGTGATTTCGTTTCCAAGGCCTTAAAGTATCAAGGTAAATTTAACTTATAGCTTTGAGCTATAACCACTCCATTCGCGTGCAGCAACTTTGTGTCTCAAATCTTCTTAACAGTCCGCGGCTTACCGTACCAGCTCTTCGTTTAATAGCTAGCCTACATTACCATATAAAGTCGTAACTCAGTACTTTTCGTTTTACACGCTATTATTTGCAGGCAAATGGCTTATGTGCAAGCAGTCTCACATTACGGAGCCCCTGACGCGGCCGACCCTTAGCCGATGGGCGTCGTCTTTCCTCCCGGACATTCGCGGCTCAATACCATGGCCCCGAGAACTGGAGGTCTCTCCAGCTACAGGTCTCAGCACATGGTGCCACCACGAGGACGTACACGCGGTCACAGTTCCACTTTATGTCGCAGTGGCGGATGACGACCGCGCGTTTCTCGCAGCTCAGGTGAGTTCCCCCTGCCAAGACACCTTGGTCAGTGATCCCATCAAAGTTCACCTTCTGTGGTTTAATTTCAGTCAGAATAGAAAATCGGCGGCTAAAGAGGGAGGAATAGGTCCTGAAGGCTGGGAGTGTTCCGGGCAACGAGAATCCCGGCCATGGATTCGGCCTTGAATTCGGTTTCTTGAATTCAGATCTGGATCCGTTGCTTATCCCATTCATCTTTCTAAAGCTCGCGAATACGACGCAACCAGCTATTCAGCTAAACGACGACGGGAAGCCCCGATCCGAAAATTGTTTTTACCCTGTTTTTTTTGAAACGTTTTACATCGTCTACCGACAGGCCTCACTCACCCCTGTCCTGTCCACCACACCGCACACGCACGCAGGCGTTCAGCAAGGTCGGCAGCCCCGGCGCCGTGGTGTGGCTCGGTTACAGCTGGAAGGACGGGCCCCAGCCGCAATGGGGCGCGCTGCTGAAGAAGCTCATCACCGACTTCGCAAACGGTAGGTAGCCGATGTGGGTGGGTTTCCCTGTATGTGAATGGTCGGTAGCTGTTATATGGGTAATGGGGTTCTCAATAGGGTGCTATGAAGATAAATAAATAAATGCGGTCACGGGAGGCATAGAGAGGGTGAGGGGTACAGCTTGAAGCCGGCAAGGGAACGGAAAAGCTCACAGGAACACAACTCGGGGCCACAAAACAAAGGCATAAAGGTAAGGTAAACTTAAGGAAGGGCCGCTCAGAAGAAAAGAGAACGAGAGAGGAGTCGTTGGGTGATTTAATGGTTGGCTCGGATTACACTACGACGAATACTGCGGCGGCGGCGGCGGCGGCGGCGGCGGTAGTTACTGTACCGACCGGCGCCCAGAGGGGGTCTCCGTGGCATCTGCGGTGGCGATTATTTGTTAGTTGATTGGTGGTTATGGCTGCACCTGGTGACAGCGTTTTAGGGACCCACATCCCCACATCCCCACAACTCTGGTAAAACCTCTGCAAGCTAGATAGACATTGGCTGAGCTTCCAGCTATTGCCAGCGCAGCTAAGCGTGCCTGCGTCCTCGCCTCCCTGTTGCACCCTGTGCCGCTCTGCCGGCTGCAGATGCGCGGGGCTCTGCCTTCAGCGGCCACCCTGTCAACCCTGTTACCTCGGGCAAGTACGGCTTGAAGCCGCAGGCGACTAAGGACATTGAGGAGGTGCAGGAAACCGTCTTCCATAGGGCCCTGGCGGCGGCGGCGGGAACGTATCCACCGCCGGAAGGACCACCGTCGCCTGATACGCCGTCGCCACCGCCGCCGTCGCCGCCGCCACCGCCGCCGCCTCCGTCGTCACCGCCGCCGTCGCCGCCGCCACCGCCGCCGCCGTCACCGCCGCCACCATCCCCGCAAGACGATGATGGCAATGATGATGATAATCCTAAGACCAAGCCGCCTCCTAGGACACGATCCCCGCAAGAATCGAAGCCCTCGTCGCCCCAGCCCAACGCTCCATCACCACCGCCCAAGAAGTCGGTTCGACCACCACCCAAACGCAAAGGCAATGATGACCGCCGTCGCTCGCTTCTAGACCCAGCCACCTATCCACCTCCGCCGTCGCCGTCGTCGCCTGATACGCCGTCGCTACCGCCGCCGTCGCCTCCGCCGCCGTCGCCCGCCGTCGCCCCGCCGCCGTCGCCTCCGCCGCCGTCGCCACCGCCGCCGCCGCCGCCATCACCCCGTCCACCATCGCCGCAAGACGATGATGGCAATGATGATGATAGCCCTAAGACCAAGCCGCCCCCTAGGACACGATCCCCGCAAAATCGAAGCCCTCGTCGCCCCAGCCCAACGCTCCATCACCACCGCCCAAGAAGTCGGTTCGACCACCACCCAAACGCAAAGGCAATGATGACCGCCGTCGCTCGCTTCTAGACCCAGCCACCTATCCACCTCCGCTGTCGCCGTCGTCGCCTCCTACGCCGTCGCTACCGCCGCCGTCGCCACCGCCGCCGTCGCCTCCGCCGCCGTCGCCACCGCCGCCGCCGCCGCCATCACCCCGTCCACCGTCGCCGCAAGAGGATGATGATGACCATGATAGCCCTAAAACCAAGCCGCCCCCTAGGACACGATCCCCGCCAAAATCGAAGCCCTCGTCGCCGCCACCCAACGCTCCATCACCACCGCCCAAGAAGTCGGTTCGACCACCACCCAAACGCAAAGGCAATGATGACCGCCGTCGCTCGCTTCTAGACCCAGCCACCTATCCACCTCCGCCGTCGCCGTCGTCGCCTGATACGCCGTCGCTACCGCCGCCGTCGCCTCCGCCGCCGTCGCCTCCGCCGCCGTCGCCACCGCCGCCGCCGCCGCCATCACCCCGTCCACCGTCGCCGCAAGAGGATGATGATGACCATGATAGCCCTAAAACCAAGCCGCCCCCTAAGACTCGATCCCCGCCAAAATCGAAGCCCTCGTCGCCGCCACCCAACGCTCCATCACCACCGCCCAAGAAGTCGGTTCGACCACCACCCAAACGCAAAGGCAATGATGACCGCCGTCGCTCGCTTCTAGACCCAGCCACCTATCCACCTCCGCCGTCGCCGTCGTCGCCTGATACGCCGTCGCTACCGCCGCCGTCGCCACCGCCGCCGTCGCCACCACCACCGCCGCCGCCACCACCGCCATCGCCACCGCCGCCGTCACCATCACCGCTATCGCCACCACCATCGCCACGGCCGCCGCTGCCACCGCTACCGCCATCTCCGCGACGGGATGACGGCAATGACAATGACAAGCCGAAGCCCCGACCACCCCCTAAGGCGAAGCCGTCACCACCGCCACCCAAGGCACCCCCACCGCCGCGCCGGACGCCGCCGAAGCGAGGTGGACGCGATTAAACGTCATCTACCTTTCCTTCCGAGATCACGTTGAAGCCATGCGATGATGGCCAGCTTCGCCGCTCTCTTAAGCCGCCGTCGCGCCGCCAGACCAATTGCTCCATTGCACCCCCTAAGGCACCTTTTCGTCCCTACGGCCACTTTCTTCGCTTTTCTATTGTTGGTGGGGGCTAGAGATAGATATCAGAGGACGGTTGCAATTGCTGCTGCTCTTGAGCGTGCGTCGAATCCCCTTAACGCCAGTACGAAAGGCGGCAAGAGGGGTTGCGGATGGGGTTGTGGATGGGGTAGCTGAATAGACTGTTGCCTAGTCTCCGTCAACTAGGAATATGCAACAGCTTACACGGTGTCGAATCATTCGCATTTCTCAATGTGCCGTACGTACGAGGTGTGTTGTACGGCATTTCCAGTTATTTCCAGATTGGGTTGTCAGATGGCGGCATGATGACGAGGTAGTGTTTTGTGGAGCTCATGATGATGCGTCGCAGCTGATGAGTTACCAAAAAATGGTATATAATACTAAACGCAGGTCCGTGAATATATTTTTGTACAGCTGGTCGGGATTACATACATACATGCGCACATTTTCCAAGGCGCTCGAGGGAGGGAGGGAGGGAAGTCAGAGGGCCATTTCCCTCAACCGACAAACCGACAACGCTCAACGGTGTTCCCAACGGTGTTTCCCTTCTTCGTTTTATGTATATTTACGAGGGAAGAAGCTATGGAGAGCGAGCAGTTGCTGCTGCTATGCTGCTGCACCGCAGTACTGCTGTACGGGGATGATGGCGCTAGTGTACAGACTGTAGCTTGGCCTAGGAGCTAGGAACGGCCTCGCAATTACATTTACGTCCTTATTGCCCTCCTCATATAGATAGTTCGTTAGTTCGTTAGATTTTGGTGGTATGTATGTAAGGAGGGGCCTGTGCGGCGGTGTAAGTCCAAACAGAAAGTCTGGCATGCGTGTGCGGCATGGACGGCACCTTGGTCGTTCTATAGGCTTGACTTCGTCACAAGGGAGGACACCCGTTTTGTTCTCTTTTCCTTTCCTTCTTCTACCCTTATCCTGCTATCCAGTCTGGCGGTGTGTGCCATGGTGTGTTATCCGCCCAGTTGCCCGCCTCCAAGTCACAGCACGCGAGTACATAAATCTTCAGCCATGCGCTTATGTATGCTTGTATGTGTGTATGTCTGTGTGCAAGTTTCCGTATCTGCGGCTGTAAAGCAAGCTAGAAGGAAGGTATACGGTGATCAGTTACGGCCGCCGCTGCCATCGCCGTGGGGCTGACCTTTCCCATTCCCTGGAGTGGGGGTACCGATCGGGACGCGCACACATACACATACACACACACACACGCGCGCATGCGCGGGGTGCCGGGGGGGGGGACCCCGCGGTGAAAGGAGTAATAATGTGTTTATCGTGCATTATGTATGCCCATGTATGCAAAGCTGCAAAGATGATGTAGGTCATTCATAAGTTGGTTGAGATATAGAGAGATGTCGGTTAGTTAGTTTGGACGATGCAAGATAGGCTATGTGTATGCGTGCGGGCGTGTGTGTGTATGTGTGTATGTGTGTGTATGTGTGTGTGTATGTGTGTATGTGTGTGTATGTGTGTGTATGTGTGTGTATGTGTGTGTATGTGTATGTGCGTATGTATGTGCGTATGTATGTGCGTGTGTGTATGTGTGTATGTGTGTCTTACATCTTGAGGTGAGGTATTGGCCATGTGGCAGGCGTACATCGCATCATGCATGCAAGTAAGTTGGGCTGTAGGTCGGGATGGGCCGTGCGGTACGGCATTGGACGCATTGCCCTCGTCCGCAGCTATACTTCTTAGATGTCTTATGTAGATGAAATTTGGCCACTAGAGTTTTCGGGGAAGCCTAGGTAGCTTTACGTAGCGCCATTCAGCACGGTCGGTCAGTGAGAGGGATGTTAACCCCAGCCCAAGAAGTCTCTTCATTTTTTAAATCGTGTGGATAGCGGGGAAATCAATTTGGTGCTGTTGATGACCTTTTGCGTAAGTTTGGTGTCGAGCGGAAAGGAGTTGGTAAGGGAGAACGGTTAGGACTCTGACCGATATAACGGCCCTCCAATGATGGAGAGTGCTTCGGCGGTCGTTCCCGTTGGGATACGACCAGCGTCAGGTCGGGATCGACATGTAACAGAACCATGGCTCATGAGAGCGTGCGCGCGTGCGACGCCTCCCACCCCCCGGTGGAGGAGAGCGGAACTAGCGGACCTGCGGCTCTCGGCTGCTTAGGAGGAGGGGACAGAGAACCCCCTCACGCCCCTTGCGCCCCGTCCGCGGGAGAGAGCTTAGGCGGTCTTTCCGTTGGGGCTGGGCTGCAGTCCCTGGCCCGGTGTCAGGCCCGGTCACATACTCGTAACTTTCACACACAGCTACACACACACAGCCACATACACACACACAGCCACACAGCCACACACACACACACACACACACACACACACACACACACACAGCCACACACACACACACACACACACAGCCACATACACACACACAGCCAGCCCCCCCCCCACACACACACACGCACACGCATACACACACATCAGTGCATGGGCGCAAACGATAACATCATCTAAATCTTATCCCCCCCGGAAACATTCGGCCTTTCGGGTTCGGTATTCTGTCATTCTTCTCGCGGTCACCCGAATGCAGGAATGGGCCGCCTGCTTACTACTTACACACAGCCTACTGAATATAAATACATGCACGTATACAACGTAAGCAACCAAAGCCAGGCCGCGTTGTTGTGCGGCACGTAACCCCACAGCAGCCTTAACCCCATGGCATCTGTGGGTTGGTTTTTTTGCCACCAGAAAGTGTGGCAGGGTGGAAGCGTGGCAGGGTAGATCGCATGATGACGCACATACATACATACATACTGCTCCCGGAGTGTTCGGGTTCAAATACGCCTGCCGACCAGGGTTCGACACCCCGTACGGGGCCCGTAAGTTTTTGGCCTTTTTTCGGTATCCCCGTCAGGGCCCGTAGGACTTTTCGGTGGCTCCCGTAAGGATTTTGGGGCGCGAAGCGCCCCGTACGGGGCCGCCCCCGGACCGGCCGAAGGCCGGTTACGGTGGCTCCCGTAAGGATTTTAAGGATTGATAAGAGGCCGTACGGGGCCCTGTAGGGGAGAAGACGGACCATATAAAGGATAAGGCCACACAATTGGCACATATTATTCATATTGCAATATTTAACTACACTTTTCATAATACTTTTATAACTTCTGGTCTGTAACATCCAGCGATGGCAGACAATGAGTCGTCAGGAGGTGACCAAGGGCCTCCTAATCCACCGCCCTCCAAGAAGCGCGAGAAAATAACGAAAATAACGATTTACAGGGCAAAAAAAATGCAAAGCGTCACTTTCCACAGCGTTTTAGCCAAGGACAGTGCCCCCGTAAAGGTTTTGCGGGGGTTACGGGGGCCCCCGTAAGGTTTTCGGCCGGCACAGGAGCCTGGTACGGGGGCCCCTCCGTAAGGAAAATTTGGGAGGTACGGGGGAGCCCGCAAGTTTCAGGAAGGTCAGTGTCGAACCCTGCTGCCGACCCCTCGAATGTTTGAGGGGTGTCGAATCGGGAGGTGGCCCCCCATCTTGTGGACTGTGTAGGGCGTGATTATAGCAATTTGCGAGCTGACCAGGAACTTAGCTGAGGCACCGTTGATCCGCTAGATCTGGTAGGATGCTGGTGGTGAGCTGCTGAACCCAACGATTACATTCTGAAATCTGATAGGGTGAACGGATTAGGGTGGCCCTCTCGCAGGGGAGAGCAGGTAACTGCCTCGGGTAAGGGGCCCGCTGGTGAAGCTGTACCACCCTGTAACAACAATACATACAAACACGTACAGCGGGCACTACGATTAGCATGCAATACCTGCCGTGCCCAATTTGACGGGCGCTGCAAACTGTGGAAAACTGTGGAAAAATGGAGACAAAGTGCTCAATGAGCAAGCGCTATACACTGGCGAGCGAGGGATGTGAACCCTACGGTCGTTAGAGACGCGCGCTTGAGAGCCCCTCGAGCTGGCTGAACGATATGAGGTCCATAAGAACCGCAAGCAGCCAGTAAAAGCAGCGCTGGCGGCCCCACTGCTTCCTACTAGCTAGCAAACACCATCCCAACGCAAGCAGCACGATAACGCATGCAGCTAGATGATACTTCTCAGGTAATTACTGGAAATTTGAGCGAACGCAGTAAGGGGCTTTGGGACACATGAATGCCCACGGGAATATTTTTTGAAAAATAAATTGCTAACTGCAGTATGGCTATGGCTAGCTAGCCTGGGGATGGGGATGACATCTAGATGGGCCAACGTAACTGATACTATTTACTGCTGATGTCGTTCTTCACAGTGCTTGCGTTGTTGTTTGGTTGCTGAGGAAACAGCCATAAGCTGAAGTGCCGCTACAAGGGTGGTCCATGTTAGCTGGCTGTTGCTGCGTTTCGGGGTTGGGGGCGTTAGTCCGGTTGCATGCTTGGGTTTCGACACACGATTCGTACCGATGGAGATTCGCTGCTGCTTAATTGGGAAAAGCTGTCATGGATCAGGTGACATAAAAAAGAGCGACAGAAATTTGGCGCGCCAATCTTATGGACGCTTCACGCCTGGAAACCGCGAAACACTCGTGGTGTGAAGGTTGCAACTGGGACAGGATGTTCGACATCGAGCTGGAGGTCTTGCTCCATTTTGTCAAAAAAACGTGTTACAACGGTTCCGACCTTGCCACACATTCACAGATTCCTAGCGTTATTCCAAGCGTCATTCATGTACCTTATTGTTATTTTATACCTCTGTGCAGCTTACTTGTTGCAATCCAAAAGGTTCAAGGGCATTGCGAAAAGGATCCAACACCAAATTCATCTGCAGAATATAGACACACCATATCTACAACAAATTATATCTATTCCAGGAGTCGGCATTCAGAAAGGTTGGTTGGTCTCGTAAAACATCTTGCCGGGCTTCATGAAAGGTGTAATGCCGTTTAATATAAAAAGCGATAACGAATGTTATTAATTAAAGTAATCGTGAGGTGACTCCCACGGCCAGAGAATGAAACAAAGCGGCATCAGGTCGGTGCACATATAATGAATACTTACCTCGTGCACACAACGGACATAAACAATCTGTGGATTAATTGATGTCTAGTGCGGCCGCTGCGTCCAAACGATGCCATGTTTGGATGTATGCCTTTGGGGGACTACGTGCAGATGTACCCACGCGCACAACTCCCATCCTGCATGAGACCTAGCAGCGGTAAATGTAGCAGCGGTGGTGGCAGCGGCGGTGGTGGAGCAGCGGTGGCTGCGGGGCTGCGGGGAAACTGCAGGTCGTCGCCCCGCCATGCCGTCCCTTGGCGAACAGTTGCAATTTGATATGACTATGCACCATGCATCAAGCCGTAACCGTACCGTTGCTGCGAATTATACACACAGAACTCCAGGAAGTCGGATTCGTAGGGCCCCTCGGCAGCTCTACGCGAAGCAGGGGAGAATACCAGGCAACAATACCGCACAACTACTAAACATGGACAAATATATGCTTAAAAATGGTCCGATTACTTGTGCAATTGGTCAAAATCATTAGACCATTTGCTTGATACGGTAATGGTGCATTTATATTTAAAAGCCGGAGTCGTCGGAAGGATTTAAAAACGAATAGGCTGGGCAAATTTTTGCGAGCCTAGCAGCCACGATGGTGCGCTATTAGTGATGTGCAAGACCATATCTATTAGGTAGCAGATAAAAGCAGGATGTCACGCACTGACAGCAGTTATGGCATTCTTAGTCGTGTACCGCCTAACGTTGTACACTTCATTTCGCCTTCGCTTATCATAAGCGAAGTACAATATTACTCGTGTACCTCAGCTGCCGAAACCGGCTAGCTACCAGACGCGTCCGTCCCCTAGCCGTACTTCCGAGGTACCGGTCGCCTTGTAAATAGCGCTACTGGTCCAAGCCATGTATCAAGCTCAGTCACCGGCAGGACAGAGGTTGATTGTAAGCTAAGCCCCGAGGATAGCGGTTGATTGTACTTGCTAGATGAAGAATGCGTCCCTGCGTACCTAACATCGTTGCGCTAAGCGCAATACTTATTTGTTGCGTGCTTGGCAGGAGTGCAGCCAACGTACTTGCCGTGTCTCTTTACCAAAGTGAATCTAAGGGAGTCATAGATCTGTCCTGGGACAATGGTTCTCAGAATTTGGAGGCTCAGCTGAAGGATCTTGGCCTGGACGTGCACATCGCCGTCGATGGCCAACCGGCCGGCCTCGAAAGCGAGGACGCTATGGATGCATACATCATTCCAGCACAGAATGGACAAGTTCTTTACTCAAATGCTGAGGACATGGAACAAGTTGCCGCTTTTGTCAGCTCCGGTGGACTTGTGATTATTCTGGATGCTGGCTTTGGCGAGGGCGCCACAACACGCGATTTCGTTTCCAAGGCCTTAAAGTATCAAGGTAAACTGATATTATGTGTTTTCATGATTACTATTGGTGTTGCGGCTTTGCTTATCATCTACCAAGCAGATTGCTACCGAGGTTTTCTTTGTTTTTACGTAAGCCCAAATGTTCCCAAATGTTCCCTTGAAGCTCCCGAATCATACTTGCAAATTGTTTGGTCCATGAATTGCAGGTGAATGGCAAACGTGTCAGCACATGGCTGGGCGGTCGGAGCCCCTGACGCGGCCGACCCTTAGCCGATGGGCGTCGTCCTTCCTCCCGGACATTCGCGGCTCAATACCATGGCCCCGAGAACTGGAGGTCTCTCCAGCTACAGGTCTCAGCACATGGTGCCACCACGAGGACGTACACGCGGTTACTGTTCCCCTGTACCGTGTCATCGGAGGCGACGCTACATGGCTAGCAGCTCAGGTCCGTGACTCTAATAAATTCTTAGACCAAAGTATATTTATCACAGAATTTTGTTATGTATGATATATGGTAATGAGCATGAGCATCCAGAGCTGCTGCTGGCCTGACCGAAATCAGCTTACAACCGTGTTGCAGGCATCATCATATCCAGTAGCAAACAGTGTTGACAATAAAATATATAAGGTAGTTCGCGAGTCATGATTAGGTCCCCTGATTATGTTTTTCCTGCTCGTCCAGTCTCACCCTTAATTTTGCAACTGACCGTTGCCCTCCGTTGCTTATCCCATTCATCTTTCTAAAGCTCGCGAATACAAAGCAACTAGCTATTCAGTTAAACGACGAAGGGAGGCCCCAATCCGACATTGTTTTAACCCTGGTTTTGAAACGTTTTACATCGTCTACCGAAAGGCCTCACTCACCCCTGTCCTGTCCATCACACCGCACACGCACGCAGGCGTTCGGCAAGGTCGGCAGCCCTGGCGCCGTGGTGTGGCTCGGTTACAGCTGGAAGGACGGCCCCCAGCCGCAATGGGGCGCGCTGCTGAAGAAGCTCATCACCGACTTCGCAAACGGTAGGTAGCCGATGTGGGTTTCCCTGTGTGTGGGTGGTCGTTACTTTACTAGGGCAAAAGAAATATAATGAAGGTACAGTACGACAGGAGGAAAGGGAAAGAGGGAGACCTGCGTCCTCGCCTCCCTGTTTCTCCCTGTGCTAAGCGTACCTGCGTCCTGTGCCGCTCTGCCGGCTGCAGGTGCGCGGGGCTCTGCTTTCAGCGGCCACCCTGTCAACCCTGTTACCTCGGGCAAGTACGGCTTGAAGCCGCAGGCGACTAAGGACATTGAGGAGGTGCAGGAAACTGTCTTCCATAGGGCCCTGGCGGCGGCGGCGGGGACGTATCCACCGCCGGAAGGTCCACCGTCGCCGTCGCCGTGCCTCGCCGATGCGCCACCGTCGCCCGCCGCCGCGCCATCGGTACCGTCGCCGCCGCCATCGTCGCCGCCGCCGACGCCCCGCCGTCACCGACGCCACCTTCCCCGCAAGACGATGATGGCAATGATGATGATACTCCTAAGACCAAGCCGCCTCCTAAGGCACGATCCCCGCCAAAATCGAAGCCCTCGCCGCCGCCACCCAGCGCTCCATCACCACCGCCCAAGAAGTCGATTCGACCACCACCCAAAAACAAAGGCAATGATGACCGCCGTCGCTCGCTTTTAGAGCCAGCCACCTATCCACCTCCGCCGTCGCCGTCCTCGCCTGATGCGCCGTCGGTTCCGTCGCCGCCGCCGCCATCGGTACCGTCGCCGCCGCCACCGTCGCCGCCGCCGCGCCGCCGTCACCGACGCCACCATCCCCGCAAGACGATGATGGCAATGATGATGATACTCCTAAGACCAAGCCGCCTCCTAAGGCACGATCCCCGCCAAAATCGAAGCCCTCGCCGCCGCCACCCAGCGCTCCATCACCACCGCCCAAGAAGTCGATTCGACCACCACCCAAAAACAAAGGCAATGATGACCGCCGTCGCTCGCTTTTAGAGCCAGCCACCTATCCACCTCCGCCGTCGCCGTCCTCGCCTGATGCGCCGTCGGTACCGTCGCCGCCGCCGCCGTCGGTACCGTCGCCGCCGCCACCGTCGCCGCCGCCGCCGTCACCGACGCCACCATCCCCGCAAGACGATGATGGCAATGATGATGATACTCCTAAGACCAAGCCGCCTCCTAAGGCACGATCCCCGCCAAAATCGAAGCCCTCGCCGCCGCCACCCAGCGCTCCATCACCACCGCCCAAGAAGTCGATTCGACCACCACCCAAAAACAAAGGCAATGATGACCGCCGTCGCTCGCTTTTAGAGCCAGCCACCTATCCACCTCCGCCGTCGCCGTCCTCGCCTGATGCGCCGTCGGTACCGTCGCCGCCGCCGCCGTCGGTACCGTCGCCGCCGCCACCGTCGCCGCCGCCGCCGTCACCGACGCCACCATCCCCGCAAGACGATGATGGCAATGATGATGATACTCCTAAGACCAAGCCGCCTCCTAGGACACGATCCCCGCCAAAATCGAAGCCCTCGCCGCCGCCACCCAGCGCTCCATCACCACCGCCCAGGAAGTCGATTCGACCACCACCCAAAAACAAAGGCAATGATGACCGCCGTCGCTCGCTTTTAGAGCCAGCCATCTGTCCATCGCCGCCGCCGCCGAGAGGACGAGAGGATAGGAAACGGAAGGTACCGCCCTACCTAGGAACTGAAAAGAATTCGCGCTTTTCGGCCCCCATCACAACCACCACCACCACCAGGAAGGGAAGGCTAGCTTTTAGATTTTAAGTCATGACTGATGCTATTGGGAACTAACCATAGCAGTTAAGTCCAAACCACTTTGTGTGGGAAGAATGTACGGCCGGAGAATGGCCCCCACGTGAATGGTCTAATTTGTGCGGGGAGGGCCTGCTTGGGGCTATTCGCAAGGTGTACGGCATCTCCTGCTGCTGGTGATGATGATGCTGATGATGATGATGATGATGATGATGATGAAGAACCGCCCTTGTTGGCCCATCAGACATTGAGCGCAGTAAGGGGTGAAGGTAGTGATGTCAGTAGATTAGTGCAGTGCGTCGTACATTCATGTCAGTGTACGACATTGTTACGAGAATGTGATTAATAAGTCATTTGTGTCATTCTCAAGGTGTCGTACCGCACGCCGTGTTATTTTTCGCGTGTCTAAGATTCGTTCTTTTAAGGATAAGGTTAGCTTTGTGCAACTGATTTGCGGTTGCGGGTTTCCTTTCCGTAATTCATATCATCAATTCTGGGAGTCTGGGAGTTGGTAGTTTGGGATGGCATGGGGGTTATTCCGAGCGAAGCCACTAGGCAGTTAGGATGTTAATGTAGGGCAGTAGTAGGGGGTAACAGTTGTTAAACCGGTTTCTCCTCCTGCCGCTGTCGCGCAGCTGCCAATGCAAGCGACTTCTCTAGCAGCTCTCGTACATCGCTCGCAGATCTAGTCCTCATCAAATCCAGATCGAATCCAGATCGCGTATCCGATCTCCAGTTTGGGGCACCAAGGCGGACAAGCGCGATGCATGATTGTTGCATGATAATTGTTGAGAGATGATGATGATGATATTTTTCTTTTATTACTTCTCTGCACATGATACGGCAAGATATGGTATAGCAAGATAGGCTGATGTGATGCTGGGCGCGCAGGGCTGATGCGAGTGTGGGGGGGCATAAGAGCGAGTGCGCAGGAGTTCAACCGCGAGCCGGCATAGCGTATGCACTGGCGCGATATTAGTTTTAATATGATGCGACCATAAATAAAGCGCTGCGTGTACTGTACTCCGTGTCTGCCCTTTGCTTATTGCTCTTCGAGTGCGCCCATGATGATCGAGGCCAGCAGCCGCAGCAGCCAGCTCTGTATGTATGATGTGTGAAACAGGGGGGTGTATCTTCGCCCGTGGCAGCTACCCTGCGAAACCCTGCCTTCCCCGGTATTTCGGGGCACCCTCATCCAGTCACCCTAGTCAACTTCTCAGTGGATCGCTCAGGTTCCGCACCCACCACCAGCATCCAACGGAATCTGCCGGGTCGACAGCGGCCCAACTCCGTTCCTGGTCGGCTCGCAGGTTAACTTTATCCCAGGTCACCACCGTCCATCAACTAGGGGCGCAATGCCTTCCACCATCGGAAGGACTTTGACCCTAACGGGTATCGATCCCGGGATCTCCCGGGGGCAATGGTCGCGCCTTACCAGTGGTGCCAAACCCTCTATATATGTATGTATGTGGCGCCTCCTGGCGCCGGGTGCGAAAGTCTTTCTTCTATTTTAACTTGACATTCTTTCTAATTGCAAAAATTATGATTACGATTTCTGCTCATTCATGCGCGGACTGAAGGGACTGAGGGAAAGGGAAGTCTCATGGTTGATGTTGGTACAGGTAGTACGGCGTGCAGCGGTACGGCATGCGTTTGTACGGCAGGCAGGCCCTAATACGGAGCGAGGCTTCTTCAGTTTCTTACGAGCTCGCCATTCACGAGCCACCATGTAACGTATGTCTTTCGTGATCTGTTTTCATGCATGTACTTTTCGCTGTATGTTGGCATGGCCTTGTTTAGGGTGCAGTGCCGGCGAGAATTGTGGGTGCGTGAGTATGTGATGGGGTGCGTGAATCTGTGGTTTGTGTGTGTGTGTGTGTATATGTGCGTGTGTGAATGTGCGTCTGTATGTGCATATCGGATGCTGAAGCTCTTATATTAGTGAAAGGCTCCGCCCCCTGCGCAGTGCGGTTAACAGTGCGCTTGTCCTGGGTATTTTTTGGGGGGGGATATAGCTCTATGCCCATGTCTGTACGGAACTTACGATCGTGTACAACACCACCCGCCACGAGGCTCGATGTAAGGTCCCTAGATTGGAAGCCTTGCCAAGGGACGTGCATAGGCAGGTACTGTACGGCACCAGCGGACTACACTACATGGCGTTTAAAGGTTCTTTTCATACCTTTGGATTTGCACCAGTCTTAGGGCTGGCGTCCACTCAAACGAGTTAGGATGATGGAATGATAAATGCGCAACTGCCCGCTGCCGTTGAGACATCTAGAGAATAGAAAATAGAGGCGCATAGGACACAGCTTTCCTTTCGCTGTAGCAAACCCCAATGTAATGCCCCATATTACACACCTTATCTCCTCCCGTACTTCGCATGGAAATGTACGACGCAGTACGCAGTCGTACATGATGTACATGCTTATGGGGGCCTCGAAGTCGAACCGTTCCAATGCTGTCGCCCACTGTACAACAGTACGAGCAACCGCTGTGGACACAAAAACTGGATCCATTCTCCAACGGTTACAGCAACGAAATACGAAAAACGAAGGGGCTCGGCAAAGGCGATCCGCCGGGGAATATGACAAGACGTCACCTTTCCTCCGTAGCTTGGCGGCGCTGCCACTCCCCCCTCCTCCCATCTCCCCCCTCTCCTCCTCCCTTTCACCGACTTACTCGTCGGGGCCCACTTGTCCAGCTGGGTTATTGTGCAGCCGGTGCCGGTAGTACGGCACCCACAGCACCACCCAGCCATCCGCGCCGACACCACCGCTGCCGGCCCACGCTGGAGGTGGCCGGGGCCCCTACTTCCGCCGCCTACACTTTCGCCCCACACCATACCACCGTACCTCACCTCACCTCACCCCACCCACCCAGCCAGCTAGCCTGCCTGCCAGCCAGCCACGTTCACCCAGGTCGGCCACATTAGTATGACGATACACCACACACCGCACGTCAAGGGACTGACGCCTGGGTCCCTTCCAGAGGCTTTCCCGTTCCCCCGAGACCGACCGACCGACCCCCCCCAGACCAAGGTAAGTAGCCCCCCGGCCCTGTCACCCCCGCCAGGTCTCCCAAACCTACCAATCACCTGATCGAAACCCACAGGCAACATTTCCCCAGGACGTCCCCCAACCGTTCCTACGGCAACAGGTAACGTCTTTCAACTGCAACTGCTAACGACTAACCATCAAATGCAACCGTGTCTCCCAATCGTGTGTCTTCACCCCCGGTTCCCACGTCCCACGCCTCGCTTAATTTCTGTTCTGCGCCATTTTTTCAATTTTATTTTTCATTTTCAACAACCCCGAAACGCAAACCCAAACGAAATCACCACCATTCCGGCCCCCTCCAGGAAGTTCAGGTTTGGGCCAGAGCCGCCACCGCCTCCTCTAGAAGCTTCTTCTTGTAACCGGCCACAGCCTCCCTAACCTCCTTGCCACCCTGGGCGGTTTGCGGGGTGTGCGTATGTGGGGGTGGGAGGTTAGGGGGAGATGTGAGAGGACAACTGCCGTGTGCAAGCCATACACAGCCG